AAATGGCAATGATAAAACCTGGTGTTTCAATAATCACACTTAATGTGAATGGACTAAATGCATCAAGAGAAAAAGAGTACCAGAATGGATTTTTTTTAAAGCCCATCAATATGTTGTCTACAAAAGACACATTAAAGAAATTAAGAGAAAGATATATTATAAATTACAGGCTGGAAAAAAACATGCCAAGCAAATGATATCTATAATAAAGCGGGGATGGCAATACTAATCTCTGATTAAATAGACTTCAGGATGGAAACCACCATAAAAGATAAAGAAGGCACTATATAATGATTAAGGGCACAGTAGATCAAGAACACATAGCATTGGTCAACATCTATGCACCAAATGATAGACCTGCTAAATGTATTAAACAACTGCTAGCAAAATTTAAGAAAGAAATAGACAGCACCACTATAGTAGTAGGAGATATTAACACACCATTTTGACTAAAAGATAGATCAACTCCAGAGAAAATTAACAAAGATGTAGAAGATCTAAACTATATAGTCAGCCAACTTGACCTTGTTCATGTATTCTAAGCACTTTACCTAATTTAAACTCAATGCACTTTCTCCTCAAGTACACAGGGTATGTTTTTCAGAAATGAACACATATTAGGATGCAAAATAAACCTCAACAAATTAAAAAACATTGAAATGATATAAAGTATCTTCTCAGATCACAATGCCATAAAACTAGAAATTAGTGACAAGAGGAAAAGAGCCACCAATGTGGAAATGAAATAACACCTTGCTAGGGCATGCTTGGGTTATAGAAGAAAGAAAGAATGAAATCTTTTAAAAATCCTCAAAACAAATGACAATCAAAATTCAATGCACCAATTCCTCTGGGATACAGCTAAGGCAGTCCTAAGGGGGGCAGTTCACAGCAATAGGTAAACACGTAAAAAACAAAGAAAGAAGCAAAATCGGTGATCTAACTCAACACTTCCATCAAATAGAAAGAGAAGAACAATCTAATAGAACAGCCTCTTGAAGAAAGAAAAATATAAGAACAAGAGCTGAAATCAATGAGATAGAAAACAGAAAAGCAATTGAAATTATTAATAAAACCAGGAGCTGGCTTTCTGAAATGGTCAATTAAGTTGACAAAGCATTGGCCAATTTAACAAAAGAGAAAAAGGAGAAGATAGAAATAACTTGATTAAGGAATGAGAGAGGTGATATCACAACAGAACCAAAGCTATTCAAATCTATAATATCGGAATATTATGAAAAGCTATAGTCATCAAAAATCTATGTTATGCAGATGACACAACTCCACTTGCTGAAACTGAGGAGAACCTGAAGCACTTGGTGAAGAAGGTCAAGAACTTTAGACTTCAATATGGATTGAAGCTCAACATCAAGAAAAAAAAGATTCTCACCTCTTGACTGATTGGCATCATCATGATAGATGGTGAAGAGATTGAGATTGTTGACAGCTTCAGATTGTTTGGTTCTACAATCAACACTCTTGGTCACAGCAGCCAGGAAATGAAAGGACAAATTTCATTGGGAAAGTCTGCTGTCAGAGAACTCTCCAAAGTACTGAAGAGCAACAATGTCAGTCTGGAGACTAAGGTATGCCAGATACAGGCCATGGTCTTTGCAATTACTTGCTATGCATCAGAGAGCTGAACGATGAGTAGGGATGATAGAAGGAGAGTTGATGTCTTTGAGCTATGGTGCTAGAGAAGAGTATTGAATATACCATGGACTGCTAGGAGAACAAACAAGTTCATCCTGGAGAAGGTGAAGCCATGGTGCTCCTTGGAGGTAAGGATTCTGAAGCTTCATCTGACATACTCTGGACATGTTGGAGAGGGACATCATGCTTGTCAGGGTGGAGGGACAGCACAGGAGAGGAAGAACCTTGATGAGATGGATTGATTCAGTCACTGGGGTAATGAGGATAGGTGTGTCAGAGATAATAAATTGGCAAGGGATAGAGCAGAGTTTAGGGCTTCTGTACATAGGGTCGCTATGAGTTGCAGGCAACTTGATGGCACATAACAACAACATACTCTAATAATTTGAAAAATAAGAGGAAATAGAGAAATTTCTTGAAAGTCAGGTCCTACTTAAATTAACACAGAAAGATGCAGAACACTTTAACAGACCCATAACAAAAGAAGAAATTGAGCAGGCATAAAAAAAATCCTCCCCACAAAATAAGTTTTGGACCAGATGGCTTCATGGCTGAATTATACCAAACATTCAGAGAAGATTTATCACCAATTTGACTTAAGTTATTTTAAAAAATGGAAAAAGAAGGAATACTTGCAGAGTCATTCTCTGAAGCAAGCATAACCTTAATACCAAAACCAGGCAATGTAATTACAAAAAAGAAAACTACAGACCAATGCCTCTCATGAACGTAGATGCAAAAATTCTTAACAAAATCCTAACCAATAGAATCCAAAAGCCCATTAAAATAAAAGGCATCATGACCAAGTTCGTTTCATAAGAGGTATGCAAGGATGGTTCAACATCAGAATTTTTAAAAACTCAACGTAATTCACCACATTAACAAAACAAATAACAAGAGCTATATGATCCTAGCATTTGATGCAGAAAAGGCAATTGAAAATATCCAACACACGTTCCTGATAAAGACAGTCAGCAAAATTAGAATAGAAGGGAATTTCCTCAACATTGTGAAAAGTATATATGCAAAACCAAGAGACAATATTCTTCTCAATGGAAAAAGATTAAAAGCATTATCTTTGTGAACAAGGGCCTGAAAAGAATGCCTATTTTCACCATTTCTATTCAATATTGTGCTGGAAGTTTTTGTTAGGGCAATATGACAAGAGAAGGGGGGAAAAGCATCTAAATTAACAAAGAGATGATTAGACTATCACTATATGCAGATATGATAGTGTGCACAGAAAACCCCAAGGACTCAGCAACAACAACAAAATAACTAAAAAACCCCCAACCTGTTAGAGCTAGTAGACCAATTTGGTAGAGTGGCAGGAAATAAGATCAATATCCAAAAATCAGTGGGTTTCCTTTACAGTAACAAAGATAATTCAGAGAGGGAAACTAAGAAAGCAATACCATTTACAATAGCCAACCAAATTGAGACACTTGGGAGTGAACTTAACTATATATAGAAAGGACCTATACAAGGAAGACTACAGAATATTTCTACAAGACACAATAAAAGACCTAAAGAAAGAGGAAAATGTGTCCTGT